CCGGTTAAAACTCGGGTCCAATGGTAGATTCCGTCTACCCATGACCCCACAAGTTCATATATGTGATTAGTTTCAAAATTCGAGTCCAAACCGACTCTCAAAACTTAATTTCTTATTTTTCAAAAATTTGACAAAGTTTCACAAATTTCTACTTTGATTTACATGATTTTGATGTTAAAATATAAGATATGTTGATTGAATATGATTAAAATTAAATTAGAATCACTTACCCAAGGTTTGTAGGTAAAAATCCCCTCTCCAAATCGCCTCCTACCAAGTCTAGGGTTCAATAATGCAAGAAAGGGTTCAAAAATCCCGTCTCCCAACCCTTTAACCAGCTGCAGATGTCGCATTTGCGACACAAGGTTTGCATTTGTGAACCCTCATAATTGCGGACCAGGGCTAGCATTTACAAACACTGACAGACTTAACATATATCGCAATTGCGAACAGGGGAAACATCGCAAAAACGGACAATTGTTCGTATTTGCGAACACTGTGTAGTTCTTACTGCCTTCGCAAATACGAAGGTGAGGTTGCATTTGTGAAAATTTCCCATCACATGTCTCCTTCGCAAATGCGAGCCCGGTGTTCGCATTTGCGACACCAGAGCACCTGACATCAGTTTTCTATAATTTTAATCCAAACCTCTTTGGATCATGTTCGAAACTCATCCGAGCCCTCGGGGCTCCAAACCAAATATTCAAACAAGCTTAAAAATATCATACGAACTCACTCGCGCGGTCAAAATACAAAAATAACATCTAAAATTACGAATTGAACTCTAAAATGCATGAAATTCAAAGAAATTTTTAAAAACTTCTAGAATTTCAACCAAGTGTACGAATCCTATCAAATCAACTCCAAACAACACCAAATCTTTCAAACAAGTTCTAAATTCCATAACAGACTATTCCAAGTCCCAAAATCAAATTCCGAGCTCGATAGCTAAAAGTCAATCTACGGTCAAACTTTTCAATTTTAAATTGCCAAATTTCGGAAAATCAATACAAATCAACCTACGGACTTCCAAAATAAATTTTACGCATACTCCCAAGTCCGAAATTATGATACAAAGCTATTGGAGTCATAAAATCCCAGTTTCGGGGTCGTTTTCACAAAAGTCAAAGTTTGGTCAACATTTTCAAATTAAAGCTTCTAAGTCTTGAATCAAGGGTCCAAATCAATCCAAAAGCTTTTCGGAATAAAACTAATCAACCCTGCAAGTTTCAAAGGCATAAACACACAAGTGTGAAGCAATAAAAAGGGTAGTGGGCGTAATTACACAAAATGAATGATCGGGTCATTACATATAATATCTCTGTTTGTTAGTTGCATGTTGGACTTATAAATATGGGTTGATATTTCATTTCAATTATTCAGGCCCAATTGTATTTATTTTCTACAGTAGATAGTCTCATTAGTTTTGGGCCATTGAGCCTTGTATATATAATACAGAGACCCGGTCCACCAGAGAGACGAGCTATTATTTCTTTCATTCCCTCATTTGTCTAATAGAAAATATCTAGAATCTTCTCCATTTTTCTATCAAGTTCTTTACTGTGGATTAACTCTCATTAATCAAATTCACTTGTTTATTAATTATTAATATGGTATCAGAGCATAGATCTATGATTATCTCGTTCTTAGCTCCAGATCGATGTTACCCTTGAAGGGTTTTGTTGGAGTTCTCGAGGTACGACGGTGTTCGTCGTTTCTGAGGAATTTTTAGCTGATTTCTTCAAAGTCCGATGGTTTTCTGCCCTATTACGCTTATTTGTTCTATGAAGGTGGTCGTTTGCTGGACATTGTTTTATTTTGAGCTCGTTTGGGTGAATCTAGGGTTTGGCGTTTCTAATTTCCCTAACTTTGAAGGCCGCTCTCAGTCCAGTTGCGATAAAGGCTAGTATATCTGAATTTTTATCTTGTCTTCTAGTGTTTGACTGTTGTTATTACTTGTATAATGATGAATGATAATTCTGAGCATGTCAACCCGCCTTCTGCTACTACGAGTACCTCACGCACTGTGTTTCGTGAAAATCACTATACCCATCCCTGTCATCTTTTGTATGTACACCCTCAAACGTGTTAGGAACATCTTTAGTTTCTACTCTTTTTTATAGAACTTTCTATGATAGTTGGAGAAGAATTGTCCTTGTTGCCCTCTCCATTAGAAATAAAATTAACTTTATAAATAGGACAAGCGTGAGACCTCCTGAGGGATCACCTTTAGCCAGATAATTGCAACAACGCAATGACCTGGTGATATCCTGCAATTGGAGGTGGTCTAACACTTGACAATCCATGATTGTAGACTGGTCTGGCATAATCACACAATGCTCTACCAGGCCTTGGTAGCGCATTCTCAAACTAGTCTTCAATCAAGGGTCGATTTAGATTGAATATTCGACCCCTATTGTCTTCGACAATTTCCTCGGCAGCTCTATGGGTTGCCTCACCAGCTATCCTTGCATCTGCCTCTACCTCATTGTCGTCGTCATTAGCCATGTGTTCTTGGGTTGAAGGTTGCCCCAAGAACCTTTCGGTAAACTCTTTGTCCTTCCTCAGTTGCCGCATGTATTTTTTCAATTCTGGTTTGTAGGGTATTACTTCTCTACAAGAAGATCTTGTCATACACCACGGACTTTAACCTGTTGCCTGCCCATGGAGGAGAAACCCGTGAAGAACAAAAAAAAGTAAAAATAAAAATAAATTCCTGAATCAGCACTACAAACTATTTCCAACACTATTAATTGCCAATCCTCGGTAACAACGCCAAAATTTGACGAGCGCAAAATACACACTTAAATTGTACTCGCTAGTCAAAGATAGTATAATATAATTATCATCTCCACAGGGATTGGATTTAAATAGTATTCTCGTAGTTCATAGCTCGATTTCTATCTAGGAGGATCAACAATTGAGATTTATATAATTAAGAATTGAAACTAAATAAGAACCTAAATTATTGACTAATGACAACCTCAACACAGGTAAGCAAGGAAGTTATCAATGAGAGAAAATATAGGTTGATAGGATAGGTGCAAGATAATTATTAGGAATCTAACTCTAGATAATTCACTTCTAATGTTCAAGTGAGTCTCTCGAATTCACTTAATTATCAGTACAAATGTTTAATAGAAACTCCTCTCTCGATTAAGTCTCAACTTCACAATATGAAGCAATTTAAGCTCGGTGAAGATATGCAAGAATTCGTAATGGATTGGTCTTTAGGAGAACCTCTTTCGATTATCCTCCTAACTAGGTTTAATCAAGGATTCAACTAGCCTCTTTCGATTACTTAGAAGAATCTATGAACTCAACCAACAATATAGTGCAAATATACTAAAAGTTATGCCTCTCTCGATTACAAGAACAAGTGAACATAGATGCATTAATTAAATCTTCTAAAAACGATTCAAATACATAAAAATAGGTTATAATCCACAAACAACCATCTATCAAAACCCAAAAGGTTCTACTCCATAGATATGGAGGAGTTCTTCATAAATGAAACAAAAATAGAGGAAAATATAAATACAATCCAAACCCGTATTTGAGTGAGGAAGGAAGGATGAAATCCTTGTGCTCTTGCTTCTCCTTCTTTTCCTAAGCTTCCCTAGGCCTAAGGTATGTCAAAACTCCATCAAAAATGGTGTTTTAGGGTATTTAATCCGCCCCCAAAATAAATCCCGGATGAAACTACCCTTTCTTAGAGAAATAGGGCTTTTCCTGAACAGGACATGCGCGGCAGCACACCTGGTCCCGTACTTTGCACACTATTCTGCCCCATATGCGCGGCCAGTGCACGGCCGCACACGTTTTACCCTGTTCTGTTGGGAATTTGAGAAAACATAAAACGGGAAATTTGTATCCCTTTGAATTAGATTTCCAACAATATATTGTGGATCCCAAACGGAATTTCAAGCGAAAGGTTATGTGCATTTTACTAGGAACTACGCAATATGCCTACTAGATTCTTTGTTCGTTCTTAACTATCATCCGTTGATCCCTGAACACGATCTCGGCTTAATTCCTTGAGCTTTTACTCAGACTTCAAATCTCCAAATCACTTGAATTCATTCCATAACAGCTACATAGCCTGGAATCACTCTTACAAGGCATAAAACACATAATTAGTGCAAAACACTAGCTATTAAAGCTCAAACTCAACTAAAGTATAGTAAATTGGAAGGTAATAATCTACTAAAACATGAGATTATAGCCTACGATAAGGTGGTAGAAAGAAAGCATAGACATCTTTTGAAAACTGCTAGAGCTCTTCTCTTCCAGTCTCATCTTCCCACTAAGTTTTGGGGAGATTATGTACTTACTGCAACCTACCTCATCAATAGGTTTCTTTCTAGTATGTTGTCAGGAAAGAGCCCTCATGAATTGATCTTTGGGTTTGTACCTACTTACTCCCTTCTCAGGGCATTTGGGTATCTGTTTTATTCCACATATACCAAACCTCATAAGGATAAGTTACTCCCTAGGTCCATCCCTTGTGTTTTCAGTGGGTATCCCTTTGCCAAAAAAAGGTACAAACTCTACAATCTACCTGCCAAGACTTGTTTTATTTCTAGAGATATTATATTTCATGAACATATCTCTCCTTTCCAAAATATATTGCTCCTTCTTCTCAATTTTTCCCTTCTCCTAGCCCTGCCTCATTTTCTCCTCTTCCTTCCGTTACTTCTCCTGCTTTTGCTTTTGCTTCTACTCCTGCTTCTTATACTTCCCATTCACCTCTTAAATTCTTTTCCTCCAATCCCTCTTTCTCCCCTATAGCTTCCACTTTTCCATCTCATGTTTCTCATATTTCTACTCCCCAGTTTTTCTAAGGATATCCTCTAGACCTCATAATCCCCCTGGTTATCTCAAAGCTTTTGTTTGCCATTCTTTTTCTTTGATCCATGCCTCTAGTGCATCTGCTCTACTGTCACTCACATACATGTTCCTGAGCCTCACTCTTATTCTCACGCAACAACTGTCCCTGAATGGCAGGATGCCATAAAGCTAGGCTTGTAGTTAGGGGTGACACACAGGTAGAGGGTGTTGATTTTCAGGAAACTTTTTCCCATGTTATAAAAATTTCTACTGTCAAAACCCTGGTAGTTGTTGATATAAAGCAACATCGTCCTTTGTTTCAACTTGATGTTAACAATGCCTTCTTGCATGGTGATCTAGATAAGGAAGTTTTCATAAGGTTACCTCCTGGTCTTTCTGCCTCCTCTTCTTCTTCTTCTTCTTTTTTTTTTCTATTCCTTTGGTGTGTAAATTGTAGAGATCTTTCTATGGTTTGACGCAGGCCTCTAGGCAATGGTATACCGAGCTATCTCAAGCCTTGCATTCTGGAGGATATACTCATTCTCTCAATGATTATTCCCTGTTTACCAGGGGTTCTAGAATTTCCTTGGTCATTTTAGTTGTATATGTTGATGATATCATTCTTACATGGGCTGATATTTCTGAAATATCCTCCTTAAGTATTTCTTAGATGATCAGTTTAAAATCAAAGATTTGGGGTCTCTTAACTATTTCCTTGGTATTGACGTGTTGCATACTACTTCTGGGGTTCTACTGCATCAAAGGAAATTTATTCTTGATCTCTTAGCTGAGTTCCATTCTGATGCATGCTCTCCTATCACTTGCCCTCTAGAACTGAATGTTAAATTGAAGGATAGAGTTGGTAATTATCTTCCTATGCCTGAGGAGTATAGAAGTCTGATTAGTAAGCTTAACTTTTTCACCCATACCAGGCATGATCTCAATTTTGTTGTACAACATCTTAGCCAGTTTATGCAGCAACCTTGTGAGCCTCAAATGAAGGTTGCCTTACATTTGCTGAGATATCTGAGGGGCACTTCTGATTTTGGGATTTTCTTTAATAATTCTTCTGATTTGTCCCTGCAAGTTTATTGTGACAGTGATTGGGGTTCCTGCCCTGAAAGTAGAAGGTCTGTTTATGGGTTCTGCATCTTTCTTGGTAGGAGTCTCATTAGTTGGAAGTCCAAGAAGCATGTTGTGATTTCACTCTCTTTAGCTGAGACTGAGTATATGGCCATGAGTAAAGTTGTAGCTAAAACTATTTGGGTTTGTAGGCTGCTTACTGATTTTGGCTTCCCTTCTGCTCTTCATATTCTTCATTTTTGTGATAGTATGTCTGCTATTCACAATGCCAGGAATCCCGTTTTTCACGAGCGCACAAACTACTTTGAACTGGACTGCCACTTTGTTCGCAGCAAACTTGCTGAAGGGCTAATTTCTCTCTCTCACACCTCAAGTGCCTCCCAGCTAGCTTGCTGATGTCTTCACCAAAATCCTGTCTGGTCCTGCTCAACATTTGCATATTCGCAAGTTGGTGGTTTTGTCACCCTCCAACTTGAGGGAGGTGTTGGACTTATAGATATGGGCTGATATTTCATTTTAATTATTCAGGCCCAATTGTATTTATTTTCTGCAATAGACACTCTCATTAGTTTTGGGCCATTGGGTCTCGTATATATAATACAGAGACCCGGTTCATCAGAGAAATGGGCTATTATTTCTTTCATTCCCTTATTTGTCTAATAGAAAATATCTAGAATCTTCTCCATTTCTCTCTCAAGCTCTTCATTGTAGCCCTAACTCTCATTGATCAAATTCACTCGTATATCAATTTTTAACATTGCAAAGCATGCATATATAAGCAGTCAGCACTTCCAACCCCCAGGGAAGTATGAAGTTTTTGTTGTTGCCACAAATAGACAGTGATGTGCTTTTTCGATCCTTTTTTATTTTGTAGTGCATTCTGAATGTTTGTTAGTCCGATGTTTAAAAATAATGACAGAGTTCAATATCTAGTTTTTGTCTTTAATTTGAAATTACCTCTTTAATCCTTGTAAAATAAAAATTTACTGTATGAATTTAGAGTTTACAAAAAACTACTGTAAATCCCTGAGCTTATGCTTTGTGCACTAACGTGAAAAACATTGGCGAATCCAGTATTTGAAGATGGGGTACCACATTTAGCTGCAACTGCTCTCAATGAAGTGTCACGACCCCAATTTCCCTAAGAAAGATGTCATGATGGCACCCAGTCTCTACGACTAGGTAAGCCTAACAGTTAATAACAACTTGAGAGAAGTAATTAATAAAATACTAAAACAAGGCTGAATAATTGATATAAACTTTTGAAATAGAACCTCAAAAATACTTTCCCAAAATCGGTGGAACTGAGTCATAAGCTCTACAGAGTAAAACTAGAGTAACTACTACATCACTGTCCGAAAGAAAATACAACAATAAATAAGAATAATGGAAGGTAACTCTGAGGCCTGCGGACGCCGAGCAGGCATACCTTGAAGTCTCCGTGAAGCAGCTAACAGATGATCTCTAACAACCGACACGAGCAGACGTACCTGGATCTGCACAAACATTATGCAGAAGCATAGTATGAGTACGCCACAATGGTACCCAGTAAGTATTAAGCCTAACCTCGGTAGAGTAGTGACGAGGTTAAGTCAAGACACCTACTAGGATATAAATAAACAATATGAAAAATAATAAGGATAAATAATGGAAAGCGAAGAAATAACTGATACAAACCAAGATAATAACATGAACTAATAAGGAATAGCATAAAAGAAGCAACTAAAGAGAACCACAATGATCATGTATGGATAACAACTGTTAGAACAATAAAGAACGAAACAACAAGAAATGTTCCCCACCAAAAATCTTGGCAACATGAAATAAACAGCAAAAATCAAAACGAGGTATCGTCTCGTGTATAATAAAATCACAACCGAGGTACCTCCTCGTATAATCAAGAATCACAACCGAGGTACCGCCTCGTATTCATATTTTTTAATTTTAATCACAATCTTTCCTTGTACCTCCGCGTGAGCCTTACATTTGACATAGATTTTGAAAACAGTTTTTTCAAAATAGTTACACACACTTTATCCCACCTTATGATGCCGCGTGGCTTCATGTAGTTCCTCTACAAGTAACACGCACATAAGTCCCACCTTATACCGCCGGATGCACATCAACCCCAAGCTTATACCGCCGCATACGCGTCAATGTCACATTACAATAACAACTCTCACCACAAGTGCCCATCTATCATAATTTGTCAACAATCCACAATATCTATGTTTCCACAACAATAGTCTACGGCTCCACCATAACGGGTACAAGAATATCAACAACAACAATGAATGTAAAATGCTCAAAAAGGAAGATGTTTCAACGATAATAATTTTGCCTCAACGTGATAAAAACTTTCACAACTTCAACACTAATAACTCAACAATGAGATACAATGTATAACCACGATGTGAAATAAGAATAACTCACAATAGAAGAGAAAACGTGTAGCAATGACTTCAAATAAGGGAAATCAATAAGGGAAGAGATAACATGAACAATAACTACAAATAATGATAATCAACAATGAGAGGTAACACTAAAAATAACTTCAAATAATGATAATAACAATGAGAGATAACACGAAACATTAATTGAGGCAACAAGTTCAACTAAGCATGAAAGAAATTTATCAGTTAGAACGTAGAACAAGTATTAAGAAAATCATTTAAGGCATGTAAGGATAGACTAACATAAGTAAGATTAGATTGACTAAAAGAATTTAGAACATGATATTACAATTCAATTAAAGCATGAAAATGGTCTAAGTAGCCTAAACTGATCAATTATGTACAACCTGAGTACCTACTCGTCACCTTGCGTACATGGCTTTCATATAGCACAAAAGCCCAATCAATACCAATCCTAAGGGGTAGTTCCCCCGCACAAAGTTAGGCAAGACACTAACCTCAACTAGGTCAATTCAACACTCGAAAATAGCTTTTCCCTTAAATTTCGCCGATACACAGCTCAAATCTAACCAAAATCGACCTAATATCATCAAATAATGCTAGAGAAATCAATTGCAATAGATAAAACTAAGATCTTTATATTTTTCCCAAAAAGTCAATAAAAGTCAACCCAGAGCTTGCCCAATCAAAATCCGGGCCCAATGATAGATTCCGTCTACCCATAACCCGCGAGTTCATATATGTGATTAGTTTCAAAATCCGAGTCCAAATCGACTCTCAAAACTCAATTTCTTATTTTTCAAAAACTTGACAAAGATTCACAATTTTTCACTTTGATTCACATGATTTTGATGTTAAAATATAAGATATATTGATAGAATATGATTAGAAATAAAGTAGAACCACTTACCCAAATCGCTTCCTACCGAATATAGAGTTCAAAAATGAGAGAATATGTTCAAAAATCCCGTCTCCTAGTCTTTAACCAGCTGCAGATGTCGCATTTGCGACACAAGGTTCGCATTTGCGAACCCTCGCAATTGCTGACCAAGCCTCGCATTTGCAAACCTTGACGGCCTAAGTCAACATCGCATTTGCAATAAAGGCTTCGCAATTGCGAAGCTGGGTACTTCGCAAAAGCGAACAAATGTTCGCAATTGCGAACTCAGTCCAAAATCTATTGCCTTTGCAAATGTGAAGGGGAAGTCGCATTTGAGACATCTTCCCCCTTATTGTCACCTTCGCAATTACGAGGCTGGTGCTCGCAAATGCGACATCAGAGCACCAACTTTTAAGTTCAAACCATTCTGATACATGTCCGGAACTCATCTGAGCCCTCGGGGCTCCAAACCAAATATCCACACAAGTCTAACAACATCATACGAAATCACTCGTATAACCAAAATACAAAAATAGCAGCTAAAACTATGAATCAAATACTAAAACACATGAATTTCAAAGTAAAGTTCAAGAATTTCTAAAATTACAACTAAACATCTGAATCCAATCAAATCAACTCCAAACAACACCAAATTTTGCAGGCAAGTTCTAAATACCTTAACAGACCTATTCCAAGTCCCAAAATTAAATTTCGAGCTCGATAGCTAAAAGTCAATCTACGATCAAACTTTTCATCTTCAAATTACCGAATTTCGGTAAATCAACACAAATCAACCTACGGATTTCCAAAATCAATTACGGGCGTACGCCCAAGTTCGAATGCATGATACGAAGCTATCGTAGCCATAAAAATACTGTTCCAGGGTCGTTTTCACAAAAATCAAAGTTTGATCCATGTTTTCTAATTTAAACTTCAAGTCAAGAATCAAGGGTCCAAATCAACCCGAAAGTTCCCTGGAACGAAACTAACCAACCTCGCAAGTCATAAAATTATAAACACATATTTGTTAATCATAAAAAGGGAAAACAGAGCGCAATTATACAAAATGATCGATCGGATCGTTACACGAAGACTGGTGAATTGCCCTCCACCAAATAGTTCATCCATCGGTCAACTCCCAAGTGAAACCACCATATTCGCCCAATTACATATTTTATAAATGACTACCAAAGGTTGTGGTGGGATGTATACGATCCCTGCATCCTTAATCAGATGTCTGAAGTTCGAGTCCTCAAAAATCAAAGTGTATTAGTTGGGCCCTATAACCGGTTATTAGCACTGTTGCACCCAAATTTACACTAGTCAAAGCAATATTCAACTTGTAGTTTCTATATTGTTGATGAAAGAGAGTCGCCACCTAATATTTAAAGGTATACTAGGGTACCTATTTAATTACTAAGTCATATTCTTTATTAGTCTGCTAACTAGTGAGATTATGGGTAAGGGTTCTTGTTCTTCTAAGGGGAAGGTATTAGGCACCCCTTAAAATCTACCTGAGGTAGCTCCATAGGACTTAGACTAGATTTAGAATTAATTATTTATACTATGCCTTAACTAGTGTTATAAAGATATGGCCTACCGTATATTAGGACATAATTCTTACAAAAGGAGGGTGTAGTTTAAAAGGGGTGTGAATTTATAGAGGAAAATAACGTTAGTGCATGTATACTTGAAAAGAGCTTTTGAAACGAGATATAAGATGTTTGTATTAAGAAAGTATGTGAAAAAAGGAGAAACTAGATTAAAACACTTGTTCCTAAAGCATAAAGGTGTATATTGTTCTAATGAGATATGAATAAGCCTAAGATATACCTTGATTTGAAGACTTGAAGAAAAACCATTATTTGAAAATCCTTTGGGGTGACAACACTTCATTTTTTTCGAAATAATTTGATTCCCTTTTTGAAGATAAAGCTTGTGTTTATAATCTGATTTTTCCTTTTGAAAGTGTGGTTGTCGTCCTTTGCTAGCTTTGGGCTTCAAAATCTTTAAGATAAGGTAAACAAAAATATAGTAATAATATAAATATTTTATAATTAGCGAATGGGAGATTAGTTACTAGCTAATTCTTCTTTTAATCC